GTATGACTAACTGTGAAGTGCCTCTCTATGCCCTCGTCTCGACATAGTTGCTGAAAGGGGTATGACGTATACTCGTCGCCGTTGTCGGATCGCAACGTCTTAATCTTTCTCCCAGTCTGCAGTTCTAATCTCTTCTTCCACTCCATAAATAAATCTAGGACTTCATTCTTATGCTTCATGGTGTACACCCAATAACACCTAGAATAGTCATCAACAAACGTGACGAACCAATGTCGACCACCAAGTGATGTAGTCTTGGTGGGACCCTAAACATCTGTGTGCACGTAGTCTAAGATACCCCTCGTCCTATGAATGGCCATCCCGAACTTCACCTTCGTCTTCTTGCCAAGAACACAGTGCTCACAGAATTCCACTTTACTACTCTTGGCTCCATTCAATAGCCCCTGCTTGCACAAAGCCTGCAGTGACTTCTCTCCTGTGTGCCCTAACTTGTAATGCCAAAGCCTACTAATGTCCGCCTCTAAAGTAGCTGAAGCAACCTGTCCAATCTCGATGCTCCCCTTCAGATAGTATAAATTTTGACTGCGGACCCCCTTCATCACCACTAAAGATCCCTTAGTAACCTTTGCTACAGCGTCCTCAAAGGTCACCTTGAATTCCTTCGCCTCCAAAGCTCCAACCGAGATAAGATTCTTCTTCAGCTGAGGAACGAATCTCACCTCCTTCAACTTGCGGACTACTCCATCGTGCATTCGAATCCTCACAGTACCTATCCCACAAATACCACATGATTGATCATTTCCCATGACAACAACACCCCCATCGAGTCTCTCAAACGATGAAAACTAATCTCGCCTAGGGGTCACATGATAAGTAGCGTCAGAATTAAGCATCTAATGCGATGCATTCAAATGGTTCACCTCCGGAGTAATCAAAAGAGAAAAGCTCAAATCATCAGAATCATCGCCTTTCGCAACATTCACATCATTGGCCTTCGGGCCCTTTTTTTTGCTATTCTCCTTTTCCTTGACCTTTGGGCAGTCTCTCTTCCAATATCCTACTTCCTTGCAGAACGCACACTGGTTCTTAGCTAGCTGGTAACGACCTCTTGACTTTGACCTTCCTCGATTACCACCTTTCGGATATGGGCTTCTACCTCTCGTCGATAAGGACTCTCCTGAAGTACTAGCGTGGGAAGTCTCCTTATCATTCTTCCTCAAATCGTAGTTTGTCAATGCGCTAGTCACTTCACCATAAGTGATAGAAGATCTCCCGTTCAGCAAAGTAAGCACAAAGGTATCATACTCCTCATCCGGTAAGGAGCCCAAAAGAATAATAGCCTTGTACTCATCCGTGATCTTCTCATCCACATTCGCCAAGTCCGACAACTACTTAGTATAGTTGTTTAAATGAGCCGCTAGTAAGGTGCCTCGGGACATCTGGAATCTAAATAACCTACGTAGCAAATGCAACCTGTTCTCAACATTCTTCGTAAGATACTTATTGTTAAGAATTTCTCACATCTTCATCGCAGACGTCACCCCAATCACATCATATTTCAGCTCCTGTTCCAAACAGGATCTGATCACCCCACAAGCATTTCTATTCATTTTATCCCATACCGCTTCATCATATTTCGGTGGCCTCTCATGGACCATGATTGTCTCTTCCAAATTTTGAGCATTGAGCTCGTCCTGTACGTCGCTCATCCATAAACCAAAATTAATTTTGCCGTCATATTTCACTACACTAATCTTAGTGTTCTGATAACCCACTTGAATTGTACCCGTTATCTTGCTGCTTTCACCAACTTCTTCACCCATAATCATAAACTCTAAATTGCAAAGAAAGATTCAAACTTTATAGAATTTAGAAGTTACCCAACTGAACCCTAGATTAGATTCCCAAAGAAAGATTCAAACTTTATAGAATTTAGAAGTTACCCAACTGAACCCTAGATTAGATTCCAAATAGAACTCCTAACCACACGATAGAAGTTACCCAACTGAACCCTAGATTAGATTCCAAATAGAACTCCTAACCACACGAGGAAAGCGAGATTTTTAACGGCAACTTTAAACCCTAACTCCACCGAAGCCTAGAATTCCAAGAACCAAGCTTCCAACTGAATCTTCCTCCACCTAATCCAAAATCTTAGATCTGAAATCTGAGCTCTGATACCACTTGTTGCGCGCCATGCACAAGCGTGCTCGACAACCAAACGAGTCGGTGAGCGATGAGAGAAGAAAACCAAACCAAATTACGAGTGTAATTCATCAAAATACGACACAAATCAAACCAAACACAAGGATTTACGTGGTTCGGCAATTGCCTACGTCCACGGGGAGAGGATGGGGAGATTTTACTATATGAAGGAGAAATACAACGGGTTACAACTCACAAAATCACTTAAATATAACTCTAACCAAAGCTCTCAACTCCCTCACAATATCTCCCTCTCAAAGTGCTCAAAACAATACTAATTCTCTCTTTAAGAAACCCTAAAAATATGGTTCTATTTATAACAAAACTCAATCCCAAATAGATTAGGATTCTAAAAACGAGTCTGCTACACCCTGGTGTAGCACACACCACACCCATGGTAAACATGACAGATTCTGCCATACCAGGGTCTGCCAGACACCACACCCATGGCAGACAGGGCAGATTGTGCCACACCCATAGCAGATACCACACCAAGGTGTGGTGGAATCTATTTTGCTTATTCTTTACGTTTTTCTCAATTCCTTCGCCGTTTTCACAACGGTCTCACATGTGTAGAAAAATACTCTCCACATATACTCTAACCACACATTTTGTATGTGTCGTGCTCTACTTGTGAACATAAAAATGTGTCTCGTAAAAACAAAAAATGTAACACAATTTATAACTTTTGTTGTAGTGACAGTTAATGGGTTTCTAATACCAACCTAAATTCTATCTAATAAATTCTAAAAAAATTATATTTGTAAGTTATATCTCAAGTCTTCATATCTATTTGAAATGAATATGTATGCTTTGGGGTGTAATTTACAATGTGTATCAAGGCCTTATTTAAAGCAATTTCCATGATTTGCGTCTAAAAAATAATATACAATTTAGGGTCTGATATGCAAAAATTTCAACGCGTACAACTTTGAAGTTGTGACTTGTGATGAGCTAGAATTAGGATATTGCTTTATATTCTAGTATATTAATTAAATAAAGGAATATGTACAAAACCGTGTCCCTGAGTATAATTAAACTTGTTTGAGAAATGAAATCTTTGTGCCTAAGGAAACCCTCAGCTGGCAATATCCAAGTCGCTGTAGTTTTTCTTGATTAGTTTGCCTAACAATCAATTCTAAAACATAAATTTTCCAAGTAAACGGCGCACATATAAATTCCAGCTGGATTGGATTAGTGTATATAAACTATGTTTCCTTGTTGTATCTACTAGTACTCGCAACAACTCAGTATAATTAAGCATTTTTAATTAAGAAATGAAACCACATATTAAACAAATCATATGAACGTATGGGTTAATGTTCCGAACAAGAAAACTGGTCACCGTTTGGTCTGATCCCGGTCAGGTAGTTGTGGGTCAAAATTTATAAAGACAAAATTTAAAATCTCTTCTATTGAATGGAAACTTTGATGGAATTGTAATAAGAATTGAGGGTTATAATTTTCCTAGAATTTGAATTGTGTTGATACCATCTTAAAAGTTTGTTTCAATTTCTAAATTGTGATAAAGGCTGATGGTTATAATTTTATAATCCGAAGTTTGAAACCAAAGCATAAAATGAAGTTGATCCCTATGCAAGCGTACTAAATATTTAATGATAAGAGATATATTGATTAACATCAGATCGTGCTAACAGGATTAGGTTGGGTTACAGAAAGCTCCTCTTCAATGTTCAATCATGGACTTTATTAAAAAATAATAGTAAAGAATCATGTGTTTATATTATATGGTTTAATATTTACTTATGTTCTTATTAAAAAAAATTCACTTATATTAAATAAAAAATAATTCCTAGTGAGAGAGTAGTGGCCAAGTGGAGCTCTCATAAACATTGTTTAATTATTTATTTTTTAGAAGGAAGAAGACAATAAGCAACCTTCCAATGTTTATTTGTTCACAAGATAAGGACATAAAGCAACTTTCTAATCCTGCCATCTCAGAAACAAATTAAGATTGGACCTGATGTTAAAGCAATTGCAACCAAGAAACTGCTTCTTTGTCTTCTCTTTCAAAAAAGTACCCTGTGAACAGTAAGTTTTTGGTATAAACAGTAAGTGCATGCTCTATGGTTGGGAGTATGTTCTTCTTCTGTAACAACCAAATCTTAATTTAGCTGGCTGGAATACCTTTGTGGTATTCCATCCTTTTTCTCAAAAAAAAAAAAGTACCCTGTGAAGAGAAATGCGGTGTATTGAGAGGAGAACTATTAAATTTGTGTATAATAGAAAAAATTTAGGTAAATATGCTGATTCAAGGGTTCCTTTCTTTTCAGCCACCAGGTTAGCAATAATCTGTGTCCCCACTGGAAAGTAATTTGCCTTCTCTCTCAATTTCAGCATTTAATTTGAACGGGAACATCGAAAACATATTACGCAACTCGAGTAATAATATTGAAAAAGTATTTTAGTTGGAAAATTACACCCATTAATAACATACAACTAAAGAAATGTTACAAACCGGCCCCATTAATTTCTCAAAAGAAAGAATTATTAAGAAGACAAATTAGTTAATGATGAGATCGATCGAGTAATCATATTGGATATTCCCCCATAACCCAAGGTAATTAGAAACCGCTGGCAACTAACTCCCACAAAACCAAATTGATTAGTAGCTAGCACCCCTTTAATTATACACAACACAAAGAGAGAAGAAACGAATCACCTCTAATTAACCATCTAATCATTCATCAAACCAATCATAATTAGACCACCTTAATCCTAACTAACGCTCCAAGCAATGAAATTTTAGGAGATCGAATACAAGACCAAATAATCAAAGAACTCCAAACATCTTACCCTCTATATATTAATTCTTACATAACTCGCGCCCCTCCAATCATATGATCCATATGAGATGAAGAACTCAAGTTAAGCATTGCCGGGTAATCATTAAACCCTTGAAAGAAGCCATCCGCGTCCCCTAACCCGCTCAAATAATTATTATTATCACCACCACCCAAATTCTCATCATCAACCCTCCACACAACTGACCTCTCCTTCTCCTCCTCCAGCTCTCCTCTGGTGATCTGGCGCCTCTCTCTCTTTTTCCGGCCAGCTCGCTTCGTTGGTTTCCCCGTGAGCCTCTGAACGAGCTCCCTGAAGTTCGCCGCATCGGTCTTGATGACCTCCGGTGCAAATATGTGCACTATCCGTATCTTTGGCTTCGGTTTCGATATCGACCGAGAGGCTTCTCTCACGGCCAGCGTGGTCGGCCCTGAAGGACCCATGCTATAAGCTTTGGTGTTCGTGATGCTATACATGAGTTAGGGTTAGCTAGGGTTTGGAAATGAGAGGGGGGAGAGAGGATGTTGGTTTAAATACAGGAAGGAGGGGGTAAATGTGGGAATTTCTTTATTTGTGAAGGTGAGCAGGGTACAATTGTTTGTTGGAGGCAAGGATTGGGTGAAGGGAGAGAAAAAGTCAAGATGGAGGGGGAGGGGGGCAAGAGGGTACTAAATACATGCAAGTGTGACAAGGAGAGGTTTCCTCTTTGTTCATGAACGTGTGAACGTTTTGATGCTGTGATGTCAATGGAGGAGTACCTTCTCAATTAATTTCTTGTCCAATGCATATGAATTTGGGGTCGGTTTCTATGTCTTGACTTGCGTATTTTCCTCTAAAAAAAATAACTAAGTCCAGTGGGAAGCTGCTATTACTGGCCCGCAATCACGAATTTGTGTAGGAGAAGTGGAGTACTGTGGGCTTTTACAATTACAGTGGAAAGTCTTGCAAACAGTGCGTACGTAATAGATTTAATTGCAGATAGACCACTTGTGCTATTTGCTCGAGTACGATTTAGACCCCCTAACCGCTTTCTTCTTCATTTGTTTTTTTTTTTCCCTTCTTCTTTCCAGGGACCTTGAGCTAGCATCATCTAAGTAAACCTCGATGTCTAGGGCCCCCCTTACGCGGTCCATGAGTGTTGCAATGCCTGATAGTTAGAGATTGAGAATATACATGTCATAAACACGGATCAACCATTGGGTTTGTGATTCAATGCTTAAACCCCAACCACTAGGCCACTTGTGAGGTATATATCCTAATTTATGATTTTATTTCACTCCTAGAAGAATTAAAAAAAGTTCACTAGGGGGGTTTATATATCCGCACCAAAGTTACCGGGGTCCCTTGGCACTTGGGTTATAGTACAAGGGGTCTATCTGCAATTAATTTCCTTCTATAGAATGCATAGGGCATTTATGTTTTAAAATAGAAGTTCCACATAATGCGTAAGAAGATTTCTCATTTTACTCTCAATTACTGAAAGTAATTAATATGCCAAAATTTCACACACCTAATGGCGTAAATATTAGGGGAGGGGTGGGGGTGGTATTGGCTACAGAAATAACCACATGGTGAGACACACCCTACTTTTCACATCAAAGGGTGTGGGTCTCAATCTTCTCTATCTCTTGATAGCTTATTTTGTTATATGAGTTGTCACCTTGTGATCATCAAACCCTTAAATATAAAACCCTGACTTACATTAGATGATTTCTAAGGAGCTCATGTTTTACGTAAGGATCTACTGTCTCTGCTTAAAGAGAGTTCACAAATCCGAGTGAGTTTTATTTAGATTAGCAGAAAGGACAAGCATACAGTACAGTCTGCGTCCATGAGACCCATAAAGGTAGGAGTGCGCGTGGACTGGGTCGGGTCTAACCGAGGGCCGTGTGGGTCAGAAAGGGTTGGTCTTACTTCTCTGATCACGGATCTGGAGCTAGACTCAACCCGGCACACGACCCGCCTAGGAGCATGCCAGCCCATGCCCAATCCACATCCCATAGGTCATGTGTGGACCCATGGTTTTTTTCAACCTTTTTTTTATTTTTTTCAAAAATATATTAACTTTGTATATATTCATATTTATAAAAAAAAGAGATTAATGGGTATCCTTGTCATAGGAGGGGATTTCCTCCTATGACGCCTCTAAAATCACATGATTGAGCGACATTGTGGATGATCCGCTCCGTTGAACTTGATCTACATATTCTAAAACCCCAACACACCAAGTTTGGGGTGAACCCGTCGTCGTTTGACCCTCCATCGAGCCATGTGAAAAGTTCTATTCATTCAAAACCGTTAAAATTAATACGAGTGGATGAAGGGTTCACCCCAAACTTGGTGTGTTGAGGTTTTAGAATATGTAGATCAAGTTCAACGGAGCGGATCATCCATAATGTCGCTCAATCATGTGATTTTAGAGGCGTCATAGGAGGAAATCCCCTCCTATGACAAGGATACCCATTAATCTCTTTATAAAATTATATTTAATTTAAAATTTTCCTATTTCAAACCTTTTATTTAAAATGATTCTCACACACATATATACACATGTACATATACATACACTTCACATAAAAAAATATTACAAACATAAAGATATATGCAATTTGGACTTTGAAAATACATACACTTCACATAGAAAAATATTACAAACATAAAGATATATACAATTTGGACTTTGAAAGAAACCTGACTGTGTGAGGCCGATGGTTTGAACCGGCTCATGCCCAACTCTACATAAAGTTCAAGCCCTTCTAATTTTGCCAGAGGTTTTGTTTGTACTTTCCATTTGCGCTAACAGTGATTAATTTATCATATCATTCTTTCTAAAAAAATTACCATATAAATCCATACTGTTTAGTATTAAATAGGTAGAAAAGGTATTATTTAGATACATCAACCATTTTCTTTAATTGTTTTCAATGAAAGACAATATGTAATATTTCCTACGGTCTAGATGTGATCATATTTCTCCGGTAAATTAAAGAAATTTGCTTGGAGTTTAAGGTTGTAATGTTTAATTGCAACTTAAATCTTCCCCCGATCCATAATTGTCCCGACTATTCCACTATTTTAGAGCGAAATAGGGATTGGGATTTCAAAAGCATTTTACTTTCTTGAATAGAAAAATAATTTCGGGCAGATGATAATGAGTACTAAATAAAGATAAAATTTGAGTTTTTTATGAAAAAATTTATTAATAAAGTGTTGCTTCTATATCCAGAAAGTCAAATGGAACTTAATTCAATATCTTTTGTCCTAAAACCTTTCGTATAAGAATTTACACAAAATAAACTAAGATAAAAAGCTAGATATATAGCACCTTACTGGTTAATTAATCAAAATTTTCAAACACAAGAACGATATTGTATAATATTTGACCATGTTCTGGGGTACTCGAAAAGGATTAATTTAGAGTTTAAACTTATAAAAGCCTTCATTTATATAAAACAGAATGGTATTAGCTCAGCCTTCAGCACCAACGTTTGATCTTATCACTCAACGACAGACCAATTAATCACCTATTAATTATCTAAACTGTCACTTTTAGTCTCCTATCAACCTAATTTCATAATAAAATATACAAATAATTAAAAGACCAAAACAAAATCCTGAAGCTATTAAATTATTTAAAAGGAAAAAAAAATTCATTTCGCACATATTGTAAATTTATTCAATGAACACAAGCTGTCCTTGGATTTTAATTCAAAACTATGTCAACTCCATAACATAAGTTTAGGACGGCCGGAACGTGTAGGGTCCACCGCGAGTAAGAAAAGCAGCCATAGTCGTGATAAATAATTAGAGGTGATAATAACGTAATAAATTAAGTATTGTATTATACTATTATTTACATCCTAATATATATTTATTTACATGTATATCTTGAGGTTAATGACTGAGATTGCATGAGTAACTCTAATAAAAGAAATATCAGGGTTTGCTCAGGATTATCTGTATAATTTTAGTTAGTAATCTCAGAATTCTCGTGTAAACACATAAACCATGGGTTATCATTATAATTACACTCAACCAATATCTGAATGTAAATAATCCTATAAAAAATGCATACGTTCGCCAGAGGTCCCCCAATTCTTATTTACTAGTGTGAACACCGTGCAAAACACGACATCTTTTTTCCCCGTTATAGTATTCTCGATTTTAACTGCTACAATATTTTTTTAATTTTTTTGAATTGCTACAGTATCCTTTTCTGCTACAGTATTCCCCGTGTGCTATAGAATTTTTTTAAAAAAACACCAGCTTCCAGTTTTATGTTTGCTACAGTAATAATGACACAGTAAATTCTACTGTAACATTAACTGTAGCATAAATAGTGAATCTTAGATTCTCCCATTTGTATAGAGGAGCAGATTGCTTATGTTACTCTTGACTGGATGTTTGAAACAACCTATAAGAATTAATCAGCTTAATAGCAATTTCAATTTGAGTGAATAAGTACTAGGTGGCCTAATAGCAATTTCAATTACTACATCGACTAAGGCCTAATAGCAGTTTCAAGTATTACATTGACTAACTTCAAAATATTAAAGATTTACGGGACTAATACCGTGACAAAAAAAACGAACTTTTTCAGTTGAAGGGGGCCGGCCGATGAGAAGGGGAGCGGCGGAAGTCGTTGAGATTCGGATTCGGCCGTGCGAAACTGATCCGCACGTGAGTGGGACCCACTTGACGCCAGGCAGGAGGGCACACGAGGGAGGCGCCGGCTGAGGGGGGCAGGGATCCGAGGGGATACACAGAATTGTGCCACGTGGCGGATGGAGGAAGGGCGCGGGGCTAACCGACTCCGATGGTGACGCCGGTGGCTAGTTGGGGGGCGAGGGTTTGGGGTGTGCTGGCGTGGCAAGGTTAGGCTCACGTGCGGGGTATATCAGCTGGGTCCACGTGTCAATGGCTGAATCCAACAACATCCGGTTTTCAACCAGGGCCGGTGTTGAACCGAGCTCAGTTATAGAGTATTCTTTGGATTATAGCAAAAATCAAAGTGAAAACGAGCCAGCTTGAGATCTCTGAACCGAGTTGTGGACTAGAGTGAGTTAATCCGGAAAAAAATTGGTTATGGTCAAAGTAAGATCCAATTTGAACTTATACAATGATACGCTTCAAATTTAAATTAAGCACCTACACTTTATGGGGGTGTTAGTTAATTGGGACATTTTCATGCAAAATAAAATAATTGTTAAAGTTGAATAATTTTTCGCTAGTGAGATATTTTAGTGGGATAAATAGGAACAATTTTGCGAAGCGAGATATTTTGATAAAATAACGTGAGATAAATTTTTATAATCATGAAATATATATTTATGCATTTTGAAGATATAAATACAATTTATGTATTTTAAACTTACTATTATTAATTGATAATTGCTTACAAGAATGTTCTTTACTAACTTTTGATTAGACTATAAGATATTGA